CTACCAAAAGGTGAGCATAACAATAGGCCACAGCTGTAACTTTCATTCACCAAAACCCACCTTGCTATTCCTTTCTATGATTTGTGAATACATACACACATGCACCACCACCACCACCACCACCGCCACCATACAAAAACATACAGGGTGCCTTGCTTTACATTTTCAAAATTATCTCATTTATATCCAACCACAGTTCACCAAGTACAATCTTGCAATGAGCCATCACTTTCAAGATGCCACTCCCAAGTTGGCACATGTACCTATGCATATATGGTACCCTTAATTCACACCTTGGGGGCTGCTTGGAAGGAGATACACCTCTACTACTTCTGTACTTTTCTACCTGAGTCTCCAGCCTCTTCTCTGCCAGGCCTGTCAATTCCTTCTCATGAAAGCCCCCCTCCACACTTGCAGGCCTTTCTTCTACCATCTCAATGCTTCATCCCTAGGTTTTAGGGTTGAGTCTCCTCTCCCCATATTTACAAAACCCAGACAGGTTGGGTAGCTGGTGTGATGCTATCTGGGACAGCCTTATCTAACTACAAAGTGTGCATCAGCGATTACACCACATGGGCTGGTGCCAGCCAGGCGGGCTGCCATATTGCCAAGTAACCCAGTGGTTGAACCAGGTTGGGTTGGGTAACACCCACCAATGGGAAGTAAGTTTATTAATCATGTAGCATAGTACCCTGTTGACGAAAGTGTAACTCTGAAGGCCTGGTTTGATTGGAGAAGGTGCAGGTGGGGCAGTTTGGTAACTGTGAAGACACCCAGTGATAGTATCTTCAGCTCTGATGATATTCACTGGAAAGAGACAGAAATCTGAAAGGAAACATGCAGTTTAGCAAAGAGATGGATTTTCAGCCATCTTGGGTTCCTTTGGCTAAAAAAGAGTATCTCTATGTGGTTCTCTATAAAGCTGTAGTTTGGACTTCTTAGTTTCATGAGGCAAGGAAAAGGAATTCAAGATGGCAGCCAGTGCCTTAGAATTGTGTGGGTGCAAGAATTTAAGATTCCATGCTTCTCTTTATTCATCTCTCACTTCAAACACATTCTTTTCTAAGGCCACAGCGCACCTCTCCCACCCAGCTCTGGCTTCAACTTCTTGGTAACTATAGCCAACCAGAAACACCACCCATATTTCTCACCATGTTGGGCCTGCATTGGTGTTGTAAGAACAGTTTCTGAGCAGGGACACATTTCTGTGGCTTCAAGGTTGGCCTGACTGGCACCTTAGGGGCTGAGACACTGGTCCTTGTCATAGTCTAGTGCTATATTTACATAGCCTAGTGTCACGCACCAAGCCCCAAACTTTGGTAAAGCAAATGGTATATGAAACACAGCAGAGAAGCCCAGGTGAATGTTCTAGTTGACAGGCAGGAGGAAAGAGAGGGAGAGAGGACTGAACGGTCCAAAGATTGCTCTAGAACAAGCCTCACAGGGATAAAGGATTCTAAAGTGAGAATAAGGTAAAGGGAGAGGATGGACATGCAGACATAAGCAGTGAAGTGCATCTATTTCATCAAGGGCAAAGGGGAAAATTCTAGGCTGACCAGTCACCTCAGTTAAGGATGAGGAATATTCTGGGGAAGACAGCTTGTGGGGTAAGGGGAAGCACTGCTTTTATGGAAGATAGAAATTATGTGATGCTATACAAATTTTCCTGTGCATTCTCCAAACCCCAAATGTTCTTTCTTCCCTTAAAAGCATCAGATCTTTGGGTCATTCATTAAAAACTATTTCCAACAATTTCAACTTTCCCAGGCACTGACAAGTAGTGAAGCCTAGGGGAAGCCTGTCCAAGTGAGATTAAAGTTGTAGAACTTTAAAACCCGATTTTCCCCCAATTATCTGACCACAAAAGAGCTGCCAATCTCTCTGGTTATCTTGCCAACCCCAAAGAATCCCTGTCAAGTCTCCACCTGTTTTTCAGACTTCAAAAGCTTAAGCAAGAGAACTACCCTGTGTGCCTATAGAGGTCCTTCAGGGTCCTCATGGGGAGTTCTTTAAGACCACTAGAGAAACAGTTCACAAACCAAGAGATTTACACATTGGAAACCACAGGGAAGGTTCTAGAAAATTCCAGTCACCAGTCCTGACCCTCATAAGTTTATCCCACTTGTTCACCTGATTTCCCTGGCAGTTTGAGATTCCCAGAAGGGTGGAGTAGAATCTTGTTCTCCTAAAGCCACTGTAAGCACTCAAAGTTAGATATGAAACACCAGAATCCATACACAATTTCTGAGCAACTCCCTGTAACACCAGGTTCCACATTTCCACTTTAAGAATATTCAGAGCAAGAACAGCAAAACCAAGCAGAACAACCTATGAAACAAACCACCAGCCAAAAACAAAACAAGACAAAAAACAGGCCAAACCAAAACTTTATGCTATGAAAACAAGAAATAAAATAAGGAGATTTAAAGGCCGGCTGATTGTCAGCAAACACAATATATTTACTGTATTGGCATTTGCTCACAGTGCAAATGGTACAACATTACACCATTTCAATATTTCGGTTTTTAAAAATGCTGTTTTCATTAACTCTATTATATTGGCATAACAATGTGACAAAGGAGCAAATGAAATGTTGGTGAAGAATTTCACCTTTTCACAATATCAAGCATTTTTTAACCTTAGTATAAGGTACTATAAATCCAAGAAATAAAAACATCCACAAAATATATTACATCTGGTTTGTCTTTGTCTAAGTACTCAACTTTATACAAAAGTCTCTCAAAAAATATCATTCCCCATAGGTTTTCCTGTTTAAAACCTGATTTTTTTTTTCTTTCAGTTCACATAAGTTAGAGTGCATTTTCTTTTGTTGGCTTTTAAAACATGCAGACATATAAAAAAAATCCCAATAGCACAACCTTTTGGCAACAAAGTTATTTTTCTCTTAGTTTAGCTTAAATGTCTGAGAACAGTTTTATTAAAACAAAGGAAAACTCAGAGTTACCATGCAGTGACATGCATATTCCAGAAGGAGCAAGGAAAAAATATTAAAGGATATCTGATTCCTCCTTCCAGCTTTGAAGTGACCAAAATTTTTTGTTTTTAAATAATCATCACATTATAAAAAGTATTCAGCAAAATACTGTCTCTGCAAAGAAAGATTTTACCCTTCAGCTGAAAAAATATGGGCCGTCCTGGCAAACTTCATCTTCTTCTTTCTCCTACAAAAAGCCCCAGTACCTGGAAATTCACAATCCCCCTGCTCTTTGAGTTTCTCTCCCTTCACTAGAGTCCTTTTAGTATTATTTATCCACCACCAAAACGGTGCTTTTTTATTTAAAAAAAAAAAAAAAGTGGGAAACGCATAAAGTGACTTTAAAAACAGACATTCTGTAAACTCCAGACCTTTGTTCCTTCTCTCTGGGCAGCTTTCTGGCCGCAGGAGAAATAACGCAAATAAGGAACAGTACATTCAGTCAAGACTGCTGGCAGCTGTGTCAGAGAGCACCCTTCCCTACTTCTCCGCTTCCTTGGAAAGGGCCACCCTGTGTGAGGGAGGCCTGGGAGGGACCCGCTGGGGGAGAGGGGGCGCCTGAGAAGAGGTGAGGTAGGGCAGGGAGAAGGTGAGACTGGGGTATGGATAAAGAGATGCTTCATTCATTTACATGAATTGATGCAAAAATCCTCATGTATTTTTGAGGAAAATTTGGACAGAGATGTGTATGCATATATATACACATATATGCATGTATGTGAGTAGGTATATTCACATATGCATACACACATATGTAGCTATCATCTCATCAGTTAACATTTTCATAAAAATAAATCATTTAAAGCTGCATATGCCTACAGATTCTCTTTATTCCAGTGCGCTGCACTGGATAACCAAGTACCTTAGAGATTTGTTTTTGCTAGGAATACATATTGTGTGTATATTATATATACGTATGTCTGTGCATTTTCATGCACACATACATATACATACATATACATACACACATCATATACTTATATTTAAATTCTGTTTTTTGGGCAAAAACAACCAAAGCCAGCTCTCTCATGAAAGGTGGGAAGGAGAAATGGGTATGTGAGTGACAGCAAATGAAAAGCTGGTGGCTGGTTGAGGCCTGCCTTTCTGGGAGAAGATTTTGAGACGCACTTGGACAAGGCTAAGAGAGAAGGGAAGAGGAGCGTGGGGAAGGACAGAGGCCAAACTTGCAAAGGGATTCAGGGGAAGTGGGGCCGCGGAAATACATTTTTAAAAGGCAGGCTCAGTGACTATGCTTTCTCCCCAAAGATCAAAGTGCCCTGAGGCCTAAGAGGCAAGCACTCAGAAAAGAAGGGGTTTCGAGGGGTCAAACCCAAAGCGGCGGCAGCAGCACCGCGGAGGCGGCATCCGAGGCATTTCTGTAAGAAACATTATTTCGGAGCAGATGGAAGACCATCTCCTCCTGCCACGTGCAGGTCCCCAGCCCGGGACATCCCCCGGCGCCTTGGGGACCCGATGTGGGGAAGAGTTTGGGGTAGACACAGCCCAGATCAGCTCAAGAGTCACACACACACACACACACACGCGTGCGCACACATACATACACATATACACACACAAACACACACGCGAGCACGCACACACTCGCGCGCATCCCCGCACGCAGGCGCGCGTGCGTGCGGCGGGCAGCAAGCTCTGCGCTTTGGTGCGCTCCATACCCCCTCCCCCTCTCGGGTCTTCGATGGGGACAGAGGGAGACACGGGGGAATCAGTGAGGTGCTTGGGTCCGGCGAGGGTTGGGGTGGGCCCTTTTCAGTCCCCCGCAGGTCCTTGGCGCGGCCCAGCGGCCCCTGGATCAAGGCGATCCGAACTGAACAAAGCGGGCTAGACGCCACCTTTCCGCCCCCACGCCTCGGTTAAGAGGGGGACGGCGAGAGGAAGGCGCCTCCAGCCTTGGCCCCCAACCGCTGGCGGGTGTGAAAGGGTGGGAGCGGGGGCATCGAAGGGTGCAAGGGGCCGCACGTCCATGGAGAGGCCAGGGCGCGGCCCCTAAGCCTCCGTGGCTGGCTTTCCCGCTGCTTTCAAGCGAGCAACTGGGAGGCACTGGAGGGAAAAAGAGGGGGCCTGGGAGCCCGAGCCTCAGGCGCAGGTGGTGACCACGGGGGCCAAAGACACGGAGGGCGCCGAGGATGCGGAAGGTGCACCCCCTTTCTCCGCCTTCTTCTCCTTTTGCTTGAGGTGGATCTTGGCGTGGCGCTTGCGCTCGTCGCTGCGCGCAAACTTGCGCCCGCAGAACTCGCAGGCAAAGGGCTTCTCGCCCGTGTGCGTGCGGATATGAGTGGTGAGGTGGTCGCTGCGGCTGAAGCTCCGCATGCAGATCCGGCACTGGAAGGGCTTGTGGCCCGTGTGGATGCGAAGGTGCCGGGTCAGCTCGTCCGAGCGGCTGAAGCGGCGGTCACAGCCCTCCGCTGGGCACGCGTGGGGCCGCTCGTGGAGCGGGGTCTTGCTGGGCCGGTTGGGGTACTTGCGGGGCCGGATGGGCTTGAGCGTGAGCGGCGGTTGGGGCAGGCTGCCAAAGCCCGGGTGGATCTGCTTGTCTTTGAATGCCTTGATGGTCTCCAGAGGGGTAATAGGGGGCGGATTGACCCGGATGGGGTCCATGCCCTGGAAGGGCTTGTGTTCCGGAATGGAGCCCATGTCGTTGGGGTGGTGGTACAGGTTGTAGTCAGGAATCATGGGGAAGAGATTGCTGTCCAAGGCCGGCTTGGCCGATTGGTAATCCTGGGGGGAATAGGCGAGCCCGGGATTGCCCTGGGGGTCGTGGAAAGACACGGGCTCCGAGTAGAGATCACCGCAATTGGAATATGGGGGCAGCGCCGGATACATGGCCTCCACGTCTCCCTGCGGCGGCTGCACCATGCTGCTGGCCGTGGACGTCTGCGTGGTGAGCGCCCCTGAGGCCGGGGGCACCCCCAAGATGCCGGCGCTCATGAGGCTAATGATGTTGTCCTGGCACCAGTTGGAAGGGGAGTCGAAAGCGAACTTTCCCAAGTAGGTCACGGTCTTGTTGCCGGGGGCTGGCTGGAAGGAGCCCGAATAAGAGAGTTCCGGGTTGGGCTTCTCGTTGGTCAGACCGATGTCCATCACATTCTCTGCGGAGAGCAGGGGAGAGAGGGAAGGGGTGAGTGAAGCCAAGCCGACTCCTGCGCTGCGCCCAGGTCCTCGCCCAGGTACGGAGGGTGCGGCCGGCTGGAGTGCGCAGCGCATGGGTAAGAGGAACGCTGAGCGCAAAGCGGGCGGTGCCGCGCTCCCGGGCGCAACCTGGATACAGCAAAATACTACGGATCGGGGTGTGGAGAGGCTGCGGCACACACTCCGCACACGCCACGCACACACTCACGTACCACACACACGCGCGCGCGCGAGAAGCATTGTTGTTCTTCCCGAGCCGGGGCAGGCAGGTAGCTGCAGCTACAGGTAGTTTCAGACCCGGAGTGAGCGGGGCTCTAGCTCTCCAGGGCACACAACTCGTCCTCTTCCCTCGGCCCTGTCTACTCCAGGACACCGCACCTTTACCGCCCCGGCAATGCCCCCTTCGCGCGCTGCGCCCAGGTCGCGGACCCGGAGCGCTTCGACGCTTTGTCCTCGGAGCGTGGAAAGGTGCAGCCCGCGAAGGGAGCTCTCCCGTCGCCTCCCCCAGCCCTAGCCTTCTCTGAGCCTGAAGGAGCTTTCAGCTCTTGCTGGAGGGGAAGAGCCCAGCCCCAGCTAGCAAGGTGGAGGGCGGTGGAAAACCGGCCGTGTCTCCGTGGCGGGAGCGGCGGTCCTTCCCCAGCTCCGAGGTCCTGGGATGGCCCCCCATGACAGTCCCCCCGCCCCCCTCCCTCTCCCCGCCGTCCCCACACCCCCACGGCTTTGCTGAACGCCCCGGAAAGGCAGCGTCGCAGTACCTCTCCCACCGCGGGGACTCCACGCCGCACATGGCTCCATCCCGGGTGGGAGGCTGAGGGAGTAAGGGGGGAGAGCGCGGGTGAAAAAGACGCTGGGCTCCTCCCGAGAAAGGGGGCGACAGCACCACGCCTTGCGCATTGCCCAGAGATCGGGCCCCCTGCGTGGGGAGGGAGAACCCCAGAGCAGCTCGCACCTACCTCCCTCTGGTCGGCGGCTGCCCCCACCCGGGAGAACCAAAGCTTCTACGGTGGCGTCGCCAACCGAGCCTTCCCGATCGAGGAGGGCGGGAGGAGTGGGTGGGAAAAGCAACTCGCCCCCTGGATTAATTCCCAGCGCCCCCTTCATCCATCCATCTATGCATCTAGCCATCCATCCATCCATGCAGCCATCCATCCGCAGCTAGGTCGCTCCCTCCTCCTCTTCCTCTGCCTTTCCTGCCTCGCTGCCTCGCCGCCTCCCCGCCGCCCTTACCTGTAGCCATCTGATTGTAATGGGCTACCGAGTCGCCGCTGCCGGAGAAGAGGTTGAGCGCGCTGGGGATCTCCTCGGGGTACAGATTGTCAGGCAGTTGGTTTAGCAAACTGCTCATGGTCACCGGCAGCTTCTCGGCGAGTTTGCCGGTCATAGCACTCCCGAGCTGTCGCCGCCACCGCCACCGCGGCCACCGCCGCTCGCTCCTAACGCAGCTTCCAGGCAAGCGGCATCCGAAAGGCGATCCGTGGTGCAGGGGAAAAGCATGCGAGAGGGAAAGTTCGGGGGGAGGAGGAGGGAAGAGGGGAAGGGGTGGGCCAGGGGAGGGTAT